ACACACACACACACACACACACTTTCGTCATGTTCAGCTCAACCTGCAGGTTAGCATAATGACATCCCACAGCCTGTTTGGCATTAGCATGCTAAAGTTAGCTAGCAGAGCAGAGGAAGTCCAGCCGAGTGGGAACCGGCGGAACAAAATATGTTCAACAGTGAATAAAACAGCAGAAACGAGAGAAGCGTGTTTCACCTTCACTGCGTAGTCGATGACCCGCTTAACTCCGACGAGAACCCGGCCAGACATCGTGGAGGACACGAGCGAGCAGCTAACGTCACCGTCACCGAACCTTCACCCGAGGACGCGGCGGAATCATTTCAGGGTGAATCCAGTGGGGGGGACCCGAGGGGCGCCACCTACCCGCACAGCCAATGAGAGGCCGGTAAAATCCAACGCTCTCCACTCTGATTGGCTGAGAGGCAGCTGGTCGCGTGGTTAAATTCAACATGAAGCCAAACGCCTTTCCCTCACCTCGTTTAAAGATGACTTTAATTTAAATGGAATATTTAGCTACTGTTTTATCTCTAATGATGCACATGGTTGATTTTACATCGTTGAAACTTATTAAAAAACGTTTGTTTCGGAGAAATTGCCTGAAAATGATGTGGTGCTTCTCATATCTGTGTCGCAAACAAACCCCAGTAGAGAAAGGTTCCGCTGTAAGTGGGGTAAAGTTCACCAGCAGCAGCAGTTTATTTAGATCCACACGTGTTAAATGACTGTGGTGTAATACAACAGTCCTGCACCACATGCTACACATTGATAATAATAATAATGTGGAGTTTTATTTTATTTATTTTACAGAGGGGTTGATACAACTGCTTAATTATTGTGTATTTTGTGGTGCTGTTTAACTGCACCGGATTGGAATAAAAAAAAATCCACATTGCTCCTGGGTGAACGTTATGGTTTTAAAATCTTCTTGATAAAGAGAAAATGACAAACACTTGACAAACAGACACAAAACATTTTGATCGATTATGTGTTATACCTCCTCAGTGTGCTAACACAACATTCGACATGTTATATTGCTATTGGTGAAACTTGTATGCTGCAGTAGTTGATAGTTGTTGTTTTATTACCCAGTCCTACACAGAGACACAAACTATTGGAAACAAACATGCATCAGCAACACAAAGCACAACCACAACCACAGCATTTAACATGATATGGCAAATGAGTAAATATCATTAACCATGGCAGAGTAGTTCATACTAATAATATTGTGGATTAACTTTATTTATATCGACCTTTCAAAATTCAGCTACAAGGTGCTTTACAAGTGAAAAATAGCAAACAACAAGAAACAATAAAAACAAACATTAGAGCACAAATAAAAAAAAATCAATCAATCAAGTTAGTAATTTTTCACGTCCTATTAATAATATTAATAATAATAATAATAATAATATTAATAATAATAACAGCATACACATGGTAGTATTAATAATAATAATAACCACAATAATAACAATCATAATAATAATAACAATAAATGACTTGATGTTTTTTAAACAAGACAAACAACCAAAACTCACAACTGCAAACTAAAACCTCCAGGTAAGAAAAACACCATGTTTACCAACTTTAACCTCATATTTGTAAAAAAGTATGCACACTGTTAGTTTGGTTAATAATTCTCATTCTTCTTGTTCTTCCTGTCTGTCTCTGCAGCTGATCATCACGCACACACGCACACTCTCTCTCTCACACACACACACACTTTACCAGGACGTGTTGTCGTGTTGTGGTGTTGTGGTGTTGTTGTGTTGTCGTGTTGTCGTGTTGTGTGTGCTCCAGGTTTAAACGCTGGAACCCAGCAGCTGCTCTCTGAGCCTCGGATCCAGCGGCTCCGCAGCTGATCGCAGCGCAGTCACCTCGGATCGCCCGGCGGCAGCAGCGGCCTCCATTTTAACTCCGACACCGAGCGATACCTCACGTGTCCTGGGCTGTCTCTCTCACATGACCCGAGTGTTTGTTCCCGTGATCAGCACTTCCATCTCCGTCTGTGACACCGAATATCACTTTTTACTGTAACCCTGATGGATATGCTCGAACAGAGTCTGGACACCGCAAGGTAACCGACGCCGGGGCCAAGATGGCTAACGCAGAGGAGCTAGCCGCAACATGCTATTTCGGAGAGCTAGTTTAACGACGGCTTGAGAAAAAGGCCTGATGTAAAAGCTGCTGTCAAACCGACTACACTGTGAAGACTACTTAGCAAGAGGAGTGGGATTAGCATGCGAGGTATCAGCTGTAGCGTAGAAACCTAAATGAAATACATGGTTATTATTAGCTTATTACAGCGGCACAGCTAAGTTAGCTTTAGCTTGCTATTAAAACACAAACAACTCTGTGGGTAACCTGAGGACAGCAGCATTTCTCTTGTTTTACATGGGAGTTGTGCTGTTTGCTGCCTGTTTTCAAACCATTAGCTAAGTTAAAGTTTATGCTTTGTTCGTTTTACTTGAGGAGATCAGATGGTTTTTCACAGATATTTGTTTTTTTTTTCTTTTTCTTTTTTTGTTTTTTGCAGCCAAGACAAGCAAGACGAAGAAGTGGTGCAGGTATCTGAAGGTGAGCGATTATACAGCAAGCTGTCATTGCCAACATCTGGCCCCTGCACAACATCTGGTCACAACACATCTATAAACGGCCCCGTTTGCTGAATTAGAGGTGTAATACAGCTTGTGCCTCGTTTTCTGCAGCCCAGCACAAGTAGCTGTGTCTTGATTTAAGTTTTCCTTCCTTTCCATTCTCACAACTGGCTTTCTGTCCTCTTTCCTTCTTCGAGACGGAACAGGGGACGAGCAGACGGTGACAATAGCGAGTGTTCAGCAGGCTGCAGCATTTGGTGACCATAACATACAATATCAGTTCCGCACGGAGAGTGGGCAGGTGAGTAAATAATGATAGGAACTGTTCTGATACTTGTGATTGTCAGGGGTCACATGCTTTATGGTGAGATCCCATCAGTTCAGTTCATTACTTTTTGATGTCACGCTGACTAAAAGTGAATGTGCGGAGTGTCACGTTAAATATTGATTAATGGGGATGAAAGGATTTTGTCGCATGCATCGTGCAATGTGACAGTGGGAGAGAATATGATTGTCAGTAAACAACGTTTTGCGCCGCATGTATGTAATCATTATTCAGAGTGCTCATTGTGATGTAGCTGTGTCATGCTGAGTGTTTGGGTGTAAGTACTCACAGTGAGAAACCCCTCTCATGAAGAGTCTTTTCTGTGTACGGTTGCATTTTGTCGGGCTGTTGTGTGTTTTCGCCAAATGCGTCAACTCCCCTCCCTGTTCCAAAGACGAGTCAGGAGGATAGCAAATTGCCTAAAGGTTTGCTTTTACTCGTCACATGATTGATTGATGACCTTTTGTCAAGAGTGTCTCCTTTGCTGTCCACCATTGTGGTCGTCACAACAGCAAAAGGAAAACGATGGGCAATGGGACAGTGACGCAAATGAATAAGACTTGAAAAAGTAGCCTGATATTCAAGTTGGTCTATCCTTATATGGATGATTTGCACTGCAGGGAATTAAGTCAGTGATCCATGTGGCTCATTTGGCATGCTAGTCTGAGCGATCATGTGATTCCGGTCTGGTCGAGGATTGGCATGAGGCTGCTGTCACATGTCAGTCAGGAGGTGAGTCACATGATGGAAGGAAACAAATACTGATTCTTGGAACAAACAAGCTAATTTTCTCGACTTGTTGAAATTGAATCAGGCGCATTCTGATGCATAAGCATAATGTGGGATGGTGAGAGCTATGCACTGCAGAGATTTGGATTATTGTGTCAGATACTTTGCTGAACTGAAGCTGTAGAAATGATAAACAAATCTGCAAGTCAGGTAAGGTTGTTTTGATTTGGGCTTGTTTCTTCTGCCACAGCGCTGTGAAAGTTTGTCTCCTCTCAGTTTCTCTTTTATTTGTGTCTCGTCCCACGCAGGTGACGTATCGAGTTGTTCAGGTGACTGACCAGCACCTTGAGGGAAGAGATGACGGGGGTGGAGCAGTGAGCGTCGTCTCAACAGCTGCCTTCACTGGGGCTCCTCAGGCTGTTGCTCAGGTACCTCAGTCTTTCTCTTTTTTTCAGTTAAATAGAACCCGCTGGTAAAATCAACTGTTTTAAAGACAAACTTCTTTTTCCACATATTTAACAAAAAGGCTTTTGTTATTCCAGGTATTATTTTTATTAAATGAATCCTACCAACAAGTTTTGTTTCTGCAGGCACAGTGATGTCACAAACAATGCCAATGTTTGCAAAAACTACAAAAAATATGTGACCGAGACATTCAGATTCTTTATTTTGATTAAAGTTGCAAGTGGAGTTTGTTCCTCGGAGATGGTTAAACCAGCAGAGTGGTGTTATCGGTGAAGCATGTGCCTGCATTTGCCTGAAGCAGAACGACTCACAGAGACTTAAGATGCTGTTGCAGAGTTATTTTTAAATAAACTGCAATGGCAGTAATTATTGTAAAACAGTCCCAGCCAGATTTAGAACATGTTTTTAGATAAAAAACTTTCATTTTTCCTTGGAAGGACAGAACAAATGTCTTCATTTGTAGCATACTGATGTTTTTACTAACTTTGTTGTTACCTCTGTTAACAAGATCACTGCCACTTATTTTTACTTCCTTTATCCCAGCTGTCAAACTGCACTGCGTCTTGCTTGGGGGTCTAGAGGGGATACCGGAATTGAGTCTGACGGAGACTGAGGTGTGTGTTTACCTGCTGTGACTGCTCCACTGCTACTTGTTCAAGCTCTTTTCTGTTTCTCTCTTATCTGTCGCAGGCTGTGATCCAAAACCCTTTCAGTAATGGAGGAAGCCCAGCAGGAGAGGCGGTGGGAGGGGAGACGCGATTCGCTTACTTCCCCGCAACCGCGGTGAGCGATGGGACTGTGTCTGTGCAGGCCGCCGCGGACCCTACACTCACACAGGCAGGGGGTGAGTCACTTCTCACACTTAATTTGGGTTGAAGCTCGCAGGAGTGCTTCAGAGCTAATTTAGCCATTATTTTAAGTGACAAACTGAGCATCAGCCCTTTTTTCAGCTGTTGTAAATGAACCATGTTCCCCACAGTTCTGGCTGATGAAAGAAACTAAGGTCGTACAAAACATTGAATATCATGTTGCTCTTTTTGCTGAGCACTTAAATATTATTCGTCCCCCAGTGCACTATTCACTTTTAATTTCAGATATTTAGATGTTGCTTATATTAAACCCTTTTATAATTAAAGACTTTCCTGTCATATACATTCTGCATCACGTTTTGTTCATTAACAGATTCCTCGCTCAGGAATAAATCAGAAACATTTTAAACTATGTTATCTG